TGGCTTTCTCTGCCCCCACCGCGACGCCCCGCTCACGACACACAACACCCCCCACCCACCCAACTCCACACACAAATTTCAGGCTCACACTCTCCCTCCACCCCCCACTCTTTTTATAGGTGCACTCTTTTTATAGCTCCATACATCATCTGCAGAAAGTTCGAATCGCAAGCGTTTCAGCAAACACATCTTCAGCGAGAACTGGAAAATTGCGATGCTTTTTTGTCTCCTGTTTGCTGTGCCTTTTCTCCTCCGAGTAATTCCTCGGTTAATGAAAGTGCACGAACTTGCGCTTTATCCACTGGTAGTTTGGGATGGAGGGAGATGAAATGATAAGCAATTTTCGCCCCGCCTCCTCCGCCCAACCCTGAGTTAAAATTAGCATTTTCTAGAGAGATTCGAAGGTTTCCTTACCCTTTGGGGATGGGGCGGAGGAGAAATTTTCCAAAGAAACATGCCCAAGGGAAAGAAAATTAAGTTGGGGCTGCGCAGGCGAGCGTACAGCTGCGTTCTGCGGGGCTGGGACAAGACCCAGGTAACAAGGATCGCAAAGGCATCTCCTGGGACTTCGCCGGGGCCCTGGCGAGCCCGCGTGGACTGGTCAGTGTAGGGCGGGAAAAGATTCCTTAAAGGATTTGGAGAGGAGCGCCCCCCACCCTCACCCCGACCCAGCAATCTGTGGAATGAATTGGAGATAGCCGCGGCCACGGCTTACTTTCCAGGCGGCGTGGGGCCGCGAACACTCGACCGGAGGTATGTGGGAGCAGCCCGCGGAGGGCCGAGCGGGAGCACTCTGGATTGGGAAGCGAAGGAATTCTCGGGGCCTTCACCGCAATGGAGGAACGAAATGCCCCCAAGGCGGAAAAACCGGCGACTGCGGAGTAAGCGAGACCGAGATGCTGAGATGCTCGTCAAAGGGTCATGATTTGCTTCGTGGCGAGGCGGGGAGGCCTTGATTTAGTGTCTATCTCCCCCAGAATAGAGAATGGACACGTTTGGTTGGTCAGGTGTTTTGCCCTACTGTCTAGGGTAAAATCCCTGGGTCTCCCAATTCTGGGTGCACATCTTTCTCCCCAACCCTGCCCGCCACCTCCCACGGCGCCCCAGACTGGGGGCCTAGGGAACCTGGAGATAGGCTGGGCTCCCAAGTCCGCTACCCAACCCTCCCTCCTTCCTTCCCTCTCCCGAGGCAGGAAGGCTCCCCCGCCCCCGGGTGGGGGGCCCAAAGCTCCCTAGGCGGGGCCGCCTAGTCTTCCAAAGGCCACCACAGCGCCAGCCTTGAGACCACGCGACAAGTGATGTCCCCACGGCAAGGCTGCTGCTGCTCAGAGGGTTGGCGCCAACTCCGGGGCCAGGCGATGGGTGGTGGGGTGCAAAGGCTGACTACTCGAGAAGGGGGCGTCCTCTCCAAGCCAGTCCTCTCCCCCTAGGTGCGGGGAGAGATTGCGCCCCAGGCGCCCCGAGCTGGCTCCTGGGGGCTGGACCTGCCGATCTACTGACCCAAGCTCTGGAGGGACTTGCCCAGGAAAGGCTTGGCAAGCCCCGACCTTGCCGAGCGTTCCTCCAACCACCAAAACCAGTCTGCGGGGATTCCGAGGGCGCGTCGGCAGCTCGCAGCCCACGCGCACGTCAAACCTGCGAGAATCGGATTTCCTTCCATTTCTTGGCCTGGGCTTGACGAAATCTAAACCGACTTCCCCTACCCTGTCTCTAGTGTTGGGTGTTTTTTGTTTTTACATACACCAACCTCCATTTGACAGTCAGTTACCTCAGACCCAGGAGAAGCTACCGACTCAAGGTCAAGGTTACTCTGAGGTAAAGTTCAAACTCCAAACCTGCTCCCTACTTGCCTTCTCTTAGGAACACCAAGGCTGAGCCCCCAGAGCTTTGTCCTGAAAGCAGATTCTCCTCCACGAACCAAACTGGGCTGCCCTGAGAGCACCTTCACCCCAGCCTGTGCACCCGCAAAAGTCAAAACCAAACTGCTGCCGTCGAGTAGATGCTGACTCTAAGCGACCCCATGGGACAGGGTCGCACCGGCCCCCTGTGAGTTTCCGAGACCGTAACTCTTCACAGGAATAGAAAGCCCAGTCTTTCTCCCGTGGGTCGGCTGGGAGTTTTGAACTGCTGACACAGCAGAAGGTAACCCAACGCGTCACAGCACGCCGCCAGGGCTCCGGTGTACCTGCGAGCAGCTCCGGAGTCAGTGAGACTGACGAACTGAGATTCCAAGAATCCAGAGGTGAACCCCGGACGGTGAAGGTCTAGTCCTTGGTCTCGAACAAACAAACGCCTCCCTCCTTCCCCTGGCAGTTCGCGCCACGGCAAAGAATGGGACTTGCAGCGGAGGCCGGCGGACGCGGGCCGAGCGCCCTTCTCCCTGCCTGGGGCGCGAGCTTCGGCCCGGCCGCAGCGCAGAGCCCGCCGCGCCAGAAAGAGCTCCCGGCGGCTCCGAGTTCGGATCCCTCCGCGAGCCGGCCAACCCCAGCCCCGCGGCGCTGACTGCGTTGACGGCGGCCCGGGAGCGCGCACGGTGCCGCTTTCCTCCCCTGCGTCCCCGACCTCCCGGGCTCCCTCCGCTCCGCAGAGTGCAGCAGGGCCTGGCTACCCGCCCCGGCAGGACTTCAGGACGGCTGTTGTTTGGGGGGCGAAAAATCCGAGTTCTCCGTGAACTGCAGCCACGTGAGCAGCTGCCCGCCAAGGCGAGGTCTACCCTGGCTTGTTTACCAGCTTTAAGTCATCGTTATGCACCGAACGTTATTTCATCAGAATAAAAAGAAATGCAAAAGAACACTACATGCCTAATTAGAGCACACAGACTCCTGTCTTAAGTTTGCCAGTGTTTCTTTGGAGAAAGCAGTGTGGAGGAGTTGATTTTTTTTTTTTTATCACCAAGGTTAAGGGGAAAAATCATGAACCACAATAAGAAAGTGGCTGCATTGTTATAAAGAACCCAAGCAGTCTTTTAGGAAGTTTCTGGAAGTTCAGTTTCCTACTTTCATATTGCTTTTTCCATGTGACTTCGAGAACATTCCTTGGCTCTCTACTTTGCATCCTCCCTCCATTCTCCTTTATCCAAGGACGTCAATGAAGAAAACGAAAATTGGTTAGAAGATTCCCTGAGGCAATTAAAGTGGCCCCTTCATCCCACTCCAATACCTTCCAACTTCATTTTTATTTCATAACCAGACACTTTAGGGATATGGGTACCAGATGTAGAAGCCACCCTAAATCAATTAAAGATGGGGGGGGGGAGGTTTAAAATACAGCATATTCCTTCAAGGGTAAAGCACTGATGAAAATTGTGAACCCTTTTTGTAGGCAATCATAATATCCTCCAACTTGTGGAAATTTAGCCATACAAACTTCACTGTGATCAACACCATAAGACCCCTCTGTATCTTATTAACATTTACCCAAAATCTTGGCAAAAATGAGCCTTTCACCACACCAACTTACTCTTAGTGCTATTTCATTCCTGAACAATGAAATCCACAACTTTTACAATGAAGCTACGTATCTTAAGTATGGCCTCAAAGGGCCTCTGGAAATCTTCAATATGAATGAGGCTAAATTACGTAAGATATCAAAATTGTATTTATTTATTTATGGCAAGATATTTCAGTGCTGATCCATTTTTTAATGTGACAACTCAAAAGCGCCTCATTCGGAATCTAAAGTAACAAAAAGTTTCTCTCTCATAATGTACCTGTTCCTAAGTATTACTTCACCAAGATTATTGCAGAAGAGTTTAAAATGATGAGACTGTCATGTTATTTCGAATAAAAACACATGATCATTTAGCTTTTGTTGCCTTACTCTGCTCACTAAGCAAAAAGTTGGGCAATTTGCATAAACCTATTCTTTTAATTGGCATTGCCCTCAGAGTAAAAGAATGAAGAAAGATGCACCATTATACGTTCTTGCTATAGAGAATAATGAGATATTAGACCTACTAAAGATAAAAGGAAGGTGTGACAGAAAGCCAGCATCGAACATTTGAAAACTGTGTACACTCTTCAACTCAAGGTTTCAGACCTAGAGGTTTTCTGCATATGTACCCAAACCAAACCAAACTCTCTGCTAGGGACTTAATTCTGAGTCATAGCAACATGATAAGACAAAGTAGAACTGCCCCTGTGGTTTTGCAGACTGTAACTCAGTGGAGAGACTGGTGGTTTCAAACTGCTGACCTAATGGCTAGCAGCCTAATGTGTAACCCCCTACACCTTCTAAGGCAGTGGTTCTCAACCTGTGGGTCGCAACCCCTTTGGGGGTCGAATAACCCTTTCACAGGGGTCGCTGATTCATAACAGCAAAATTGCAGTGATGAAGTAGCTACGAAAATAATTTTATGGTTGGGGGTTCACCACCACATGAGGAACCGTTTTAAAAGGTCGCAGCAGGAAGAAGGTTGAGAACCACTGATCTAAGGGCTATCTAAGCTCGTGTTTTTTTCATCAGCTTCCTGAAGTTGTGAAGTCGAAACGCCTTTCCTCATTCTTTCCACCTTTTTCCTGCCAGCTGAAGCATTCGTTCATGTCCAGGAAAAACGATAGGACTGGGAGTTGAAGGACTTCAGTCACTATTTTGTCACTAATCACCTGTGTGGCTTTGAATAATTCAAGCCTTACTTTTCTCAGGGGTCAGGGAAGCCATTGGAGTAGGTGATCTCCAAGGTCCTTCCAGACTTTAAAGAGTACGTGTTAATCTCCTTCACCTCGAGACGCAAATTGCTTTCACTAATAGTCTACTACCATCCTGAGCAGTTTGAAATAGCGAAAATAGAGCCTCTGGACTCACAAAGAGGGAACAATTAAGTAAACACCTAGAGAAGGATGTGAGGCTTTCTCTCCCTGACTGTCCTAAAGTGAAACGATTGCTCAAGTCACCTTTGCAATTACTATATGAGTTTTCGATTGCCCATGTAAATATTGGGCCTGAGAGGCTGAGCTCAAAGTGCCTGCCAGCGGTCAGCCTAACATCATCAAGACTATGGTACATTTACATGGATAAAGAAGACTCCGAAGTGTGAGTGTGTTCCTGGGGTCTGGTCCACTCAGATGCCATCTGTATGTAGTAGATCCTTCCCGGACACTCTGAGAGACCCATTATTGCTTCCTGCACAATTTGAAGGCATTTCAGGCTTCCCTGACAATGAGAGAGAAAAATAACAGTGTACAGGACACATAAAAAATGCATGTTGTCTGAACTCTCCTATGACAGTTATTTAAAGAGCTGAGATGGTTTACTTGTGGAAGTGCCAGTTTTGACGGATGGCTTCTTTCTCTGCTGTGGAAGATGAACATCCTGACAAAAATCACTGTCAGCTACTGAAGCTTCGGGCACGTGTTACCAGTCGTTTGTACATCCTCATGGGCCAACAGCAAGCTGGCTTGCCTCCCCACCACTGCACCGAAGCCACCGATCTTCACATGGCCAGACATATATTTCGTACGTCTAAACCAAGTACGGGTGATGTCTGTACTTCACTGGTGAATCCACTTTACATTGGCCATACTGTTTTAGATCTTGCAGTCTTGCTTCCAGGCTGCTTGAGAGGCAAGACAACTAAAGCCGGAGTGTCTAAGTGAGAGAAGTCTCGCACACAGTTGCAAATCAAGGCCTGGATCTCAGGTAAATGAATCTTCCTCCTCTGCTCAAGTAAAGGCAGAGGAAGGAAAGGCAGAATTTATTTAGTACCTACTTTGTACCGGACAGTCTTCTAATGGTTTTGCATACGCGACGACAGCATTTAATATGTTCTGCCCCATAGCGGATCCTGCTGGCAGAGTAGGTTAAGTGTTAGGATGCTAACCAAAAACTGATGGTTTAGACCGACCATCAACTCCACGGGAGAAAGACAAAGGAGGCAGTCAGCTTCTCTCAAGATTTACAGCCTTGGAAATCCTGTGGGGGACAGTTCTGCTTTGTTCTACCAGGTCACAATAAGTTAGACATGGCTTGATGGCAATGGACATTTTGACTAGTCCATGTTACGTTTGTATAATTCTTAAATGGTTTTAAAACATATTTTAAACATATATTCCTTTACATAAATAGCAGGGTCCTTATCCCTCTTCACTAGTGTAAATGCTTGTGTCACGTTGTTGCCTGTGGAGCTGAACAGTTGTCTGAAAAAATTCACATTCTTTAATCCAACCCCCTGATGATGATACTGGGGGGTGTGGAGAAGCAGCCACCCGGCCCTCCTGACCCACACAGACACACACAAAGCCGTAATCTGTGACCCGAAACAGTTCTTTCTCTGTGTACATTAATAGGCTGACTAAAGTTGAATCTGGCACTATGTGAAAACATAGTCCCTTTGGATTTATAACATAATGTAAACTAAAATCATTTAAGAAAGCAACCAAATTCCCACATCAAAAGGAAAGTCTCACATGTAATGACCATGGGCAATTTATGTTATCTGTATCCACTACTATAAATGCCCAACTATTACATATAGGGAAGAGATAAGAGTTGCGGCACTGTCCAATCCTAGCTTTACTGCAGCTTAAAAATTCCCAGCCTATTGGTTTAAATGTATAATTTGTTGTAGATGATCTTACTACAGAGTAAATATTTATTAGCGTGATCAAGAAAATAAAACTTTATCTAATAGATCAGTAAAGACTTGATTTGTAGTGCCATCTACTGGAAACAAATACTGACTTGCTTTCAGATTTTTTAAATCGTAGAATTTGTTTTGTTTTTTGTTTGTTTGGGTTTTCTTTTGTTAGCTTAATGCAGTGGTTCTCAACCTTCCTAATGCCGGGACCCTTTCATACAGTTCCTCATGTTGTGGGGACCCCCAACCATAAAATTATTTTCATTGCTACTTCATAACTGTAATTTTGCTACTGTTATGAATCGTCATGTAAATATCTGATATACAGGATGTATTTTTATTGTTATAAATGGAACATAATTAAGGCATAGTGATTCATCACAAAAACAATATGCCATTATATATTGTGAAATATTTATTTCTAATGACAAATAAATGAAATTTCTTTCTTGAAGCATGGTGTAGCGTGGGTAACAGTCTTCACGCTGGGTACTCATATGGAACCTCATGTGGGCAGACCCACCTGGAGACGAATAGAGGAGCGATGTCTCAGTTCCTAAGAACATATTTCCGACCCCTGTGAAAGGGACAGTCAACTCCCAAAGGGGTCGTGACCCACAGGTTGAGAACCACTGGCTTAATGGAAAGTGAGCTAAGGATATGGATATCATGGGGGAAGAATTAGGTCCTTACTATATTTGA